TTTTTTTTCTTTTAAATATGTAAATAAAGGATTATTATATTTTTTAGATAAAAATTCAAAAATACTGTTATAAAAAATTAAGAAAATTAGCTCAATAAGCTTGTACACAAAACCCATAAAGCTTTTGTTATTTGGGTACTGCCAAATTTTGCGTAAATATTAATAACTCCGTCAGGATATTAGAGAGTTTTTGCATTCCATCCCACACATTCAAGTATGTAAATTCTGCGCAAGATATGTAAAGAACTGATCTCTTATAACTGTGTTGAGCTAAATTTCTCTATTAATTGCTTTAGACCTAGTAATTTTGTTCTAATATAGTTAATAAGTTAATTAATTCTAATAGGCGATAAGATAAATTAATTCTTATTATTTAAATAACGTTTTGAGGTGCAAATTTTGTGAACTGCTAAATTGAATATGTTATAAGGTGTTCTCCACTTGCGTTTTTTTTTAATTAAGTTAACTTTTACGAATGTAATTTTTTGACACGTTCTTTAATCAAAAGTTTTGAGATTTCCATTACTATTCTTTACTTCTGTCAGGCAAACCGAACAATATTTTATAGAAACCCCGTAGATTTTCCTTCTTTCATAAGCAACCTCTGAAGTTTCGTACTGCAAACAGCATCTATAAAGTATAATGAAGCCGTGGTGGCTCAGGGGATAGAGAGCTCGCCTCTCAATGAGGTGACGCGGGTACGATCTCAACGATAGCTGATCGATTCGAATTCCGCACCCAGCTCGCACCGACCACAATGCTGATGTACAATATCCTCAAGGGTAGACGCATCATGGGTTAGAGCCCCCTTGCAGTCAGGCTAACCGTGGAAGGTTTCCACGGTCTTCCTTTCATATAATGCAAATACGGGTTAGTTGCATCAAAAAGTCCTCCACGAAGACGAATTTCTCCTAATACTTTATCCAGGAGTTCCCTTGTCTTCTGGATCGGGTTCATAATCACAAAGCTACGGAGTTGAACATAAGTAACCGTAAACCCTAAATTGGGTCAACTGTTCAAAGCCGGTTATTAAATAAAACGCAAAGTAAAATGAATGCGTTATATAGTAAAAATATAAGCAAAATTTTTAATGGTACATAAAGTAAATTTATTGTTATTCAATGATTGTTATTCAAGCAATTTCAGATGAATTGCTTGGAAAACTCCCTTTATCACTTAGCAAATACTTCCATTTTAGATCAATGGGAATAGAAGTACAAAAAAAGATAACAGTTTCCTGTAATATTTTGGTTGATATGAAAGACCTTTTCTTTGTTTTCCTTAACATGTAAATAAATATTTACACCTGCATCATGTACTGGTGAAGACATAAAGAACTAACGCTCTCACGTGAGGAAAATGTCTCATTTAAACAAAATAGAGTAGCTGTTTCGCATTATAGTATAATACTTCGCATATTATGTCCCATAATTGTTGTAGTTTCATTGAAAATATATCTAATATCAGATTTTCTTTGTTCTTTAGAGATTGATGTCGCACTATTTGCTCATCGTATCTTTTTTAAGAATATAATAAGATGTAATGTAGTAAATAAGGAATGTCGTTATTTTAAGAACTACGTCTAAGACTTTTTAAGGGCTTTTTGCTCTTTTGTTTTATGCAAAGGTCGCGTGAATTGTTTTATTATCGTGCAATTTTTTGACCATAGTTATAAGTTTAATAATTTTATAGAAAACTGTAAATAATCTTATGTCAAAAATTAAGCGTCAAAATCACTGCTGGCTGATTAAAAGTCGCAGTTCTTATCACTTCAGCTGATCTCTACAGCCTTATCCAATTTCATTATTCAGTTACAGCCAATGTTATTCAAAAAGGTATAGCTAGTTTAATGAATGTAACTGATATAACTTTGGATGACTAATTACATTTCTTAGAATTTGAAACAAATATTGAAGGCCTGAAAGGCATTGCACAAAATCAATTGAACTAATTAAAATACTGACCCATTATGCATCTTGATTCATTTTAATAGTAAAATAAAATAAAAGGCCATCCTTAATAACTATTGATCTTATGAACGAATTTTCAAGCACTAACATGCTATTATAATGGTTCAAGTAACTTAAATAAGCCATCAATTTAAGCTGGCAATATTTGTGAGTTAAGAAACACAAAATTATACTTTCTATAAATAAACTTATCGTTTTTTCCCCGATATATTTGAATTTTAAACCCCTAGAATAACGGAAAATAGGTCCCAATAATTTAGTCAAAAGCGCAGTAGAAAGTTTGGTTTCTCTAACGTGTGTATGTATTATTATTGCCTTTTTTCGCTTTTTGCATAACTTAAGCGTGTAAATAAAAGAAGAAAATTGTATAAGGTTTGTTTATCGAAACATAATTTCATGCAAAATATAACTTTAAAGGATTATTTATTATGTTTTAATATTCCATTTAATAGTTTATCAAAAAAATTTATTGAAAAGTATACAAATTACTACATCATTTTAAACTGCTTAATTTTAAAGGAAAATAACAAATTTCAACGAAATGAGTCAAATTAAACTACAAGACATTAATATGTATAAGTTTTTATTTCTCTAAAACTATAGATCGATACTGTTAAAACTTTGGATTTTGTCATTTAAAATTACATAGTTAAAAATAATTTAAAAATTTGTATACCTTTCCATTAAAAGTTTTTCGACGTTATTAAATTAAATAATAAAAAATATTGAATAATCTTTAAAAAGTATATTTTACATGAACTCAAAAAGTTTTTGATTTTTTCAATAGTTCCAACATGCGTAAAAAATAATGTTGATAAACTGAGAAAAAAAAAATTTGGCCAAAACTATCAGAATATTTAGCATGTTTTTGATTCTATGGGAACACGAAAAAGCTCGGTAATTTTTACCGAAGCGCTTTGATAATGATTTTACTTAAATTAACAATAAAACGTGGTTTTATAATATGTGATAAAATTTTGTGATTTTATGAAAATACCTCAGAGAATTTATTCGGTGACTAATTGTATGGAATTTCATAAATTACCAGACTACGTATTAAGGGAACTAAACTATTGGTAAACTCTGTGGTAAAAAAGGCTTTTGTTTAATTTCAGCATATTCATAACTATTAAGATTAAACGTCTAATCGTTAGAACACAAGTTATTCAGGTGCTTCAATATTTTCGCATTTAAGTTCTTCATGCAATTTCTCATGGTTTAATAACGCATTCTTCACGAAGTAACAATATTTATTCAGAAAATATGCTTCAGATAGAATTTCTTTTATGTTGACATTAGCACACATGTTCTGGTTTTTCTTCATTTATGTAAAGAGTAAGTGAATTTAAAGAACTATTGTATTCTCAATAACAATAATATGCCATTGTTTTTTATGTACACTTTTACTAATCGGCTTAACTTGTGTCAAATAAGGAAGAATTCAATGAACCTAATATTTTTAAAATAACGCAACAATCACACCGACACTAAAGATAAGCGAAGAAGGAAAGAACTTCCTTTTTTTTTTTTAAGTATAACACTTCATAACAGGCCCCAATGAAGGTTTAAATACAGGATATTCAATCTGAAACAATTTGTTTTCTGCACCCTTAATACAAAGAAGAGGCATTTTTTAGGAAAGCGTTAAAGCACAAATTATAGCTGTTAAGAAAAAACTAATTGTATCGCAGATTGGAGCACTCGCACAGATTAAGTGATCCAATTGTTCCAATTTGAAGAACAAATACTCTTGTTCGAACATCAAGAGCAGTGATCGAACTAAAATAATATTCCTGCAAAAAACACAATTTAAGATTGTGTAAGTGAATGAACTATTGACGTTTTGAAACGAAATATTAAAAAATAACAATAAATAAAGAGACATTTGGTGATTTTAAAAATAAGCAAAAAGAGCTCTTAAAAAATCATTGGAACGAATTTTCATTAAACCACAAAAACATGAACTATATATGTTTCAAATAAAAAGAAATATATTATAATTTAACTCATGTTACAATTTTATTTAATTTTAAATATTTAAATGGCGAATGAAATTATTTCTTTAAAGAAATAAGCATAAAGCTAATTTTTAAACTTAAACGAGTATAGAAAATTATTTTAAACTGCTAAAGCAATTTTCATAATCGATCGTTACTTTAAAAATTCCTGCACTAAGTAACAAGATAGCATTTAAAGTTAACTATTAATAAAAATTACAATATATTACAATGGATGAAAGATGAAAATAATTTTTCTTCGTAAATCATAATTTCGTGTTGTTTGCTTTTAAAATGTTTTGTTTGTACATTTTTGCTTCATCAAAACTTCAACAAAATGGCTTATAACGCTCACAGTAAACTTCTCTTAAATTATTAAAAAACCGTTTAATTTCTCGTAGAGTGTTTATACTTAATTTTTAGAGAATTAACTTATGTTAGTTAGACAGAGTATTGTGTAATGACCGAAATTATAAGGCGATAATAAGAAAAAATTCCATGAAGCCATTGCATTAGTTTCTGACCTGTTTTCCCCAATAGTTATAAAACAGTTTCTGATAGTTTTTTCCCCCACTTAAATATCAATTTGCATTTCTTAATGTCTATACTTTTCAAATTTCACTCTTGAGGGGATTCTAAACTTATATATTAAGTGTAGTTAGGGAAACTCTTTATAGTATATATAGATGTATTTCCAACATTAATACCCTACTAACTCCATTTTAGAAATTCATATGTGATTTATACATGTATTGATGTAAATGAAATGGTGCTGACATTTTTTTCTGTCTAAGTTAATTCAGTTTAAAGGAATTTTTTTAAACTGTTTTTCAACATTCGCTTACAGCAATAAAACCATTGTAATGATATGAGGAAATGAAAAATAAGTAATTTACATTTCACTCATGTTGCTTTATTCACTAATTTAATAAATAATTCTCCTAAATTTAAAAAGTATACTTCTGCTTTCCTTAGAAAGACGTTTAAAAATTTTGCTTTAAATGATTTCTAATTACTTTTCCGTTGCTTGCAGATTCGTTATACTGGCTCCAGCATGAATACAGCCCGCTCATTTGGCCCAGCCATTGTTACGGGACTTTGGGAAAACCATTGGGTAAGTTTAAATTCAATAATTGGAACAATTTAATGTGGCTAGGATTTTACTACGAAAATAAATAGATAACTACAACATAAAGCCAGCTTTATCAAAACAATTTATAATTTGTATTAAAAATAACTTTCAAAGAAAAAAATTACATATAAAATATAACAAGTAAAATAAATAATAAAAGTAAAGATACTATAAACTTAGTTTCATAAATTATTAGAAATAAATAGTGAACAATATAAATTGTGAAAAACAATATAATTTGTGACAGTTATTTTGTTTCGACTTTGATAAAAGTTACCTATATCAAAAAGAGCTTGAAATACATTCATATAAAAATTTCTTTTGGAAATAATTTAATTTTAATAAATTCAGCTTGATTCAATTTCAATGAACAAGTAAGGCGTAGATTTCCACACGGAGAAGGTTATTTCCACAAAACATTAACTACCATTGAAAAAAATAGAAAAGTAATTAAATTAGGAAAAAGAATTTGGAAATTTTAAAATTTAAGCAATGATATTTCAGGTTTTTGAAATTTGGGACCCTGGGCAGGCGTTCCATCAGCCCATGCTATACACAGGCCCTTCATAATATCGCTTAAAATTGCTGAAACCTTAGCGTCCCCTTCAGACAGAAGAGAGACTTAACTTCCTCCATGCTAACCTACGAACTTTTTCAAAGTTCTAAAAGTTCAAGTTTCAAAAATATTTACTAAAAATTAAACATTTTGTAACTAAGTTCAATAAAATGCATTTCAATGCATAAAATGAAGCAAAAATTATTCAAAAGAATCAATTAGTTATTGAATAAATAAAGAAATTCAGGACCTAAAATTCTTCATAGGTAAACACGAAATAAAATCTCTCTTTTCTGTCTAAAGGGGATCCTTAATATAGTATTAAGTTGGACCAATTTATCGTCTTCCTTAAGCTACACGGTTTTTAAAATGTGGGGCCTCAGGCAGTGCTCCATCTGTCCATGCTACAGTCGGGCCCTATATATTTTATTCAAAATTGCTGCAACCTTAATTTCATACTAAGTTAAACCCAATTATCGTATTTTTTCAATTCCTCCGGTTCTTAAATGTAGGACCTAAAAAGGGTGGCCAGTATGCCAATGCTGTAATTATGTTCTACATAATATCTATCGCAATTGCTGCAAGTACTAAGTTGAATGAAATTTTCTGCTTTCTTAAGTTAAAATAAACGGTATTATGGCTCATCTTGGTTCAAAAAAGAGCCTTAATAAGGTTGCAGCAAATTCGCACCATTCAGGGAAAGCATAACTTCTTTGACGTGTAATCTTTGTCCTTAAAGCAATTTAGAACTTATTATGCACAATTAACGATACTTGAATTTGTTATAAAAATCGATTTTCAAAACAAAGCTTGTGAGATTAAACTAATGAAACAACTCTTTCAGGTATACTGGGTTGGACCAATTCTTGGAGGTGTTGTTGCTGGCCTTCTGTACCAACATTTATTCGCTTGCCCGCCACCTGAACAGGATAGCATCGATCGTTTAAAGCTGCAATCATTATTGAAGTTGAGAGAAAAAGAAATAATAACCGATCGCACAACTTGCATTTAGAAGAAAGAGAATATATTATAAGAATTTGCATTTAAAATAACTTTTTTTGTGTTCTACCGTATTTGATCTTTCAGCATGTCTCTTTTTATTATCTGGTGAAAAGATATGTATTATTTTGCATTATTATTTTCTATGGGTGAAATCTTTTCATCAGATCATTCGTATATTTTGCATTTGTTTTTGTGTTAGGTTTCTCCTCTGATTGCTATATTTAATGCAAATTGAAAGGTCTATAGAGACCGTTTTTATGAGACTTAAATTAGATTATTCCGGTAAAAATAATCTTATTGCTTTATTGACTTGGTCAAAATATTTTTATACTTTAAAATTTTAGCTAATTTGGTAACGTGAGGATTGTTTGACGGCACAAAGTTTTTCCAGTTATTAGAGAATTAACCTTATCAAGATTTTTTTTTTACCAGCACACAAATACACACTTCAGACTTGTACTTATCGCTGTACTGAGAAAATTTACATGAAAGACATCAGTTTTCAACACAATAAGCGATAAAACAGGCTTCTATGACGCTCTGTTCAAAACCTCGTCTTATCCTGACAACTCGATAAAATAACCAAAGCTAAAATAGCATTTTATTATGCAAGTAAATATTTTTATGCGCTGCATATTAAACTTAGTTCTCATCCAATCGAAAAATTATTTCTGACATCCATCTACATTTTTTTATGGCCATAAAATTGAAAAAACTAGAATAAAGAATGTTTTTTTCATCCGATATTCAAAGCTATGTTGAACTTAGTTCTACATATTAGTAACAAGATGATATTTTGAAAATTTCGGGGAAACGGAAAAATGAGAATGTTAACAAATGATTTCTCTTATTTTCAACTAACCTTCCCCACTTGCTAAGTCTGACGAAAACTTAATTTCCGAATTTAACTTTTTTAAATATATATATACACATATTTATGTAGATAAAACCAATTAGAATCGTGATATATATTTTTAGAATCCTTGTAAGGATTTAAATAAAGAAAATATATAAACATTAAAAGTTTCAAATTTTATTGATAGGTTTATCAAAATTTTAAAAATCATTATCGAGACAGATCAGAGAAGAAAATTGTAAAAATAATAGTATAATTACATAAAATTATACAAAATTAATATATTTGTTTAGTGGAACGGAAATGTTGCCATATTTCGTTGTCTCAGATGTATCTACTTCTCATGATTTTTATCCATAAAAAAAGCAGTCCATCTGCATTTTATGAAGTTTAATGCTTTGTGACAAACGAATTTTACTAAAAACAAATTTTAATAGTTTAAAAAGAGGAGAAACATAATACATTCAGTTTTATAGATTTAGAAATACTATTCAGACAGCAGGCTAATACTTATTTTTTAACTTTTCATTTTACATGCGTCGTGAATACGTGAAATTTGCCATTTTCTTATTGTAAACTCATTGTGTAAATAAAAAAATCATGAAAAATAGTATCTTGCCTTTAAATTTTCTTATATAATTTTAAAAAAAATACATTTACCCAGGAAGCTCAATTAATATAGTTTGTTAATTAATTATTAAAAATACATTTTTCAGTAAAGAGAAAAAAAATGTTTGATAACTTTTTCAGTTGTCGAAAAAAAAATAGAAATTGACAAATTCTTTATCATGTATGCTACTCAGGGTTTTCCGTAATGACCATCCTTATTATATACCATTAAAAAATGAAGTCATAAAAGCATATTCTGTCGAAGTAAGAAACTGATATGTAAGCGAGGAAAAAACTAAAACGCCCTACCGAATCAACATTCAAACTGGTTTGATTACCGGAGTAAATAGAGAAGAGTTATCAGAAATACTTCTAAGCTTTATCAGAACTGTGTTTGATGTTTTCAGCTCACTTTCCATACTAGTGATTCGGCAGATTTCTATGGCTTTCTTTCCTTTTTTTGTCAGTTAAACATTTATTTGTGATCCATTATGCGTATACTTTTTACTACATCTTGACAAGGGTTTAAAAATTATATATATTATAGTCTGTGATTACGAAATAGCCAAACATTTCTAACAATGCATCCTTAATAACGGTTGCAAGTCAAACCATAATATAGTTCAAATTAAATAATCTTAAACTTGATTATAGTTCAACTGGAACAGAAACATGGTTCGCTTTAAGGGATGGTTTTATTTTCATCAAGGAAGCATCAATGTACAAATTTTTTCGATTTTTTTTATAATTCAACTTAGGATTCAGAATCTATAACAGGAGTCTGATATCAGCACACCTATTATTTAATTGTAATTTTTGTGTAACTTTACAAAAGAATTTCTGCAGAGCTGAAATTTTAAGAGGAAAAAAAAGATACTATCAAGTCTGGCTTGCACGATAAAATTCATAAAAATTAAATAAATGACTCGAAACTTCTTTTCATAGGCAGTCAAAAAAACCATACATAAAGAAATTAAAGCATAAATAGTGTTTTTTTTTAATTTAAAAAGAAAAAAATATGTATTTTGAATTTTTATACAGCAAAAATTACTTTGACAGAAGAATATATATAATTTATATTAAATATTTACTTAATTTTAAGTGATAGTTTAAATTTAAGAAAGATGCGAAGCTCAAAAAAAATTTTTAAATTTATAGTTTTTTTTAGAAGTGGAGCAATCTTGCGCACCAGTTGGAAAAAAATCTGTGAGAAAAACTGATTTAATCTGTCTTAATTAACTTTTCTCTATTATATAACCATTTTATTATCTAGCGAACTTGGAGGATATAATTCAAAATTTCATGCTAACGAAAATTCGGGTTATCTAACATTTTAATCAAAAATTGAATCAAAATAGAAATTCTACTGATGTTTTGTATCATGAAATTACTCCAAATAACTGGTTTTATTTAATCACCACACACTGAAACAATAATAGGTTCTTTCTCAGTTTCTTTTGGTTTTCCTATTTAATGAGATGGCAGCCCATCCTTTTTACACCTCTTCCATATCTACTTGTTAAAAAAAAAAGAGAAATTCAGGGAGGTTCTTTTCAAACATATTAATCCCTTAGTTGGGAAATAATTAATAAAATATCCATATTCAAAATAAAATGATCGATAAAATAATGAATTGGAATTCAAGAAAAATTCTTCACAAATTAAGGAGAAAAATTGATGATGTGTTTTCTCTTTACGTGGCAAAGAGAATTCGTGACATCGAAAAATTCGTATATTCGTGAGATCGAGGTATTTGTAGTCTTTATTTCTGAAAATGAGTGCAATAAAAAATCCTCGATTAATCGAGGATTTTCTCCATCATTAATTTCATTCTTCAAAATAGAATTATGTTTAACAAACCTTATCAGTATGCTAAAGACACACGATTAATGTACTGTGCTATCGAAAAATCCTCGATTAATCAAGGATTTTTTCGATCCTTAATTTCATTCTTCAAAACAGAATTATGTTTAACTAATTTTATCAGTATACTAAAGACACACGATTGATGTACTGTATTAGTGGCGCAAAAATGACTATTAAGCAAATGAGTAGCTTCAATTAAATTGTTTATGATAGGAAGATAGCTGAAATAGTATTAACTAAATGATAATATTAAACGCATAAAAATAGTAAAAACTAAATCTTTAAGATATTTATTTATTAATGTTTCTTTTTTAACTTAGTAATGATCTAATATTATCAAATATTTAACTCTAGGTTTTTTAAAAAAAATTTACATCATGTTAAAGGAAATATAAAATTTGAACAAAATATAAAAATAAATATAAAATTTGAACAAAAAGTTCCCAAAAAATTTTAATTTATAATTTTCACAATTTTTATATCTCAGAAACCATAGCATTAATTCAATTTTGAATGTTGGTGTTAAAATTGTGTAGTTTTAGTTTACAAGATAACTATAAAGTTTAATATTGTGTGATACAAATTTTTCTCTTATTATTAAATTTAATAAGAAAGGAAATAATTATCATAACTAACTTTTTTTACAAAACTTTCTGTGGATGAAGGAGTTTTATCAATTCATGCAAAACGCTTGTGATTCGCTCAAATAGTTTTACAGATATAGGGAGAAAACAAAAGTAAGAATGACATTAAGTGGTATTACTTTTTTTTATTTTCATTTTGTACTTCACTGTAATAATAACGTTATTTTTTTCCCGAACAAGTTGAAATTCACCGACTTGTTAAATAAATGTACCTACTAGGTTTATTAGTTTTAATGTCACCACCGATTCTGCAATTGTTCTCTATACAGTCAGATTTCGAAAAAGTTTTTTTTCTTAAACTAAACGGAATTTAAAGAGAAGAAAAAAAAATTTCCTTTTTTATTTTTAATATGATAAACGAAATATTCTGTTCGAACTTTAAGCAGATGAAAGATCAAAATATGAGAACTATTTTATAAAATTTCCATTCAAAGATATTTAAAATGTTGCTTACGCCTGTTTAAAAAAATATCTGAGTTTATTTATTATATGAGATTCGCGATACGTTCGATTTTAAGAGCAGCATTTTTTGGTATGTTCAAACTTTTGTTGGCAAAATTAGGAATGAATAATTTGAACTAGTAAAAAGAAAATAACCTAAATTTCTAGAATAGAGTTTTTTTTTTAAAAAAAAAGGATTAAAAGAGAAGAAAAGCGTTTGATTTATTTGTAAAACGAAATATAAATATAACCAGGCAAGATAATAATTTTATCATCTTGGTAATAGTGGCGCCATCTTTGAAAGTTTATTTCAAATGTAAGTACCTATTGTATTAATGAGAACATACAAGGTGGCAAGATTTTCATTATCCCATTTTAACGGGTATCTAGAACCGAATAACACTCATTCATGTTCGGCATAATCATAATTAACTCTAGTGCGGAATTTTAATTCAGGGAAAGTGAATACATTTGGGACAGAGAAATATGTTCGAAAATGCAGTGCCTGCTTAGGTGGACATGAATCAATTACAGAAATCAAATGCCGAAAACTATTTCAACTAAATATGATAGTAAAAGAAATTCAAAATTACATTGATATTTATTTTTAATTAATAAATTCATAATTAAAAACGTCCAAGATAACTGTCGAAAATAGATTTATGGAGGTCTACACTAGGAATTGTTCAAAAGAGAGTGTATTCGAGAACTGATTAAGATCATTAACCCCTTGACATACGAAGACGTCATTTGTTTCTTATGTCAAAACAATAACGTGTCTCAGACGTCTTCAACACAGAGATAAGAACTTGCTCCGGACAGCAAATAAATATTTTAAAGTGGTAGTTTATCAATTGTGATTCTTGGTTTAATAAATTCAATTTAGTACATTTTTATCTACCACTATTTCTAAATAATTCGTAGGCTTTAATAATTCACCACTTTATAGTAGTTATGTCATGCTATACCTTTTAAAAAGCAAGCAAACATAGTCAATATTTGCAAAATTTAGTTTGCAGTTATTTACCGTTTTTTTAAAATTATTTTGGCTAGTCCGGAGCAGTTGGCAACTCTGTCAACATTCCGTTGCGAGTTGTTATTTACAGTGCAATCAAATATTATTTCTATATCAAGATATTAAAAATTCAGCATAATTTTTGAGTTTTAAAATGTCAAGGGGTTAAGCAGCTCACTTCGAAACACTTTTCTTCGATTTGATTTTTTCGAACCCGTACGATGGTGACCGGTTTGATAATTCAACTGTAACATTAGGCCAATATCGAAGTAGAAGGGTTGCCAGTCGAAGAAATTTATCTCTTTCGGCAGGTCACGTGTGCTATAATCTTTCTCAGAAAATTAAATCAATTTTTACGCATTTTCTCAACTATGAGTTGGGAAAGAATTTTCAACTGTGACTTTCAAATTAGCTTCCGCTTGCAAAGTTTCGATTTTACCTTCCATAATTGGGTCTGTAATTATTTGAACCCTTTAAATATTTCAAAGAATTAACAACAGTTTTGTAAAAACAATTGTTTTTTAAAATAAAATTGAATAGTTAGTTTGAAATAAAATAATTATTTTAAATAATTTTAGATACAATGACGATGAGTTTTCATTTTTAAGATTCTCTTTATTTAACGTTTTCAGCTACCATAATTACTCATTTTAAATTATGACAAAAGTACTTTTTAACATGTCTTATACAACAATTTGTAATTTTTAAAAAATGTATAATTAATCAAATATTGGCAATTTGTTTAATCCCATAATTCCTTTATAAATGCAAATAGACAATTTAAAATATTTGCACCTCTTACTTAAAATTCGTATTATTTATACAAATTTACCTAAGAAGTGTTTGTAACATATAACCAAAGTTTTCATCCTCCTATATCCCTGATTGCTCTCCACCACTTCCATTAAATTGAGAGTATCTCCTTTGTGATTGGTCAGAAATAGTTTTATCGAACTTCGCCTTTGAAGTCAAGTTATCATGCCGTCAAGTGACGAAAAACGTTCGTAATGTTTCAGTTGAATCAAGAAACGGACATTTTTTCGAAAAAATCAAGCAGAGACCACTATTTTAATCGAATTTTATTTCAATTGCATAAGGCAGTAAACGAAAGCGCTTTCGATTCTCGATAGAAATAGTATCGATAAAAAATCGCGAATTAAGAGCTTTCAACAAATTCGAGTCGGTTCGGAAATTTATCAAATGATAGTCAATTCAAGTAATGAAAAATGAGAGTTGCTCCAAGACCAATAAAAAGTAAGAAAAAGATAGTTGGATCTATGTTTGAGAACTGATTAAAAATAGTGGGTTTAAGTACTGGTAAAACTATTGTTGATTCCTGTACCAAAAAATAGAGGATTCGAGTACCGATAAAAAGACAGTGGGTTTGAGTTCAATGATAGCAGGTTCGATTATCACAAAAAGGTAGCAAGTCCCAGCATTAAAAAAATGGAGTTAGAAGATTGATCAAATGCTAGTGGGCTCCAGTACCGATAAAAAATTAATCAGTTAGATTTATTAATCAAATGATAGTGGGTTTGAGTACTAATAAAAAGAAAGTGGGTTTGAGTATTAATAAAAAGTTGGTTCGAAATTATAAAAAATAGATGGCGATTCTAAATATTGTTCAAGAGAGAGTGGAATTGAAAACTGGTTAAAATATTGAGGGGTTTAGAACTGATCAAATGATAGTGGGTTTAAGTACTAATAAAAAGATAATAGGTTTGAGTGCCAATAAAAATTATGGGGTTCGAGTATTGTTCAAAAGCTAGTTGGCTCTAATACTGATCAAAAGAGAGGTGGCTCAAAAACTGTTTAAATGACAGTGGATGCAAGTATGTAAAAAAAAAATAATGCAGGGCAAAACCCCCATAAATGGTCCCAAAACACATGAAAAAAACATTTCCTGATGAAACACACTATCTTTTTATTTGTACACATGGTGGGTTCAAGAATAAATAAAAGGATAGTAGGTTTGAGTGTTAAAACAAAGAGTGAGTTTGAAAAGTTTTCAAATGGCGTAATTGTCAAAATAGAGTATAGGTCAAAAGAGAGCTCGAGTATTTTTCAAAAAGAGAGTGGATTCAAGAACTCATTAAATGAAAGTGCTTTGATTACCGATAAAAAGAGAATGGTATAAAGTACTGACAAAAAGACAGTTGGATAGAGTACCGCTAAAAATATAGTGGGTTAGAAAAAAAAGCATTTGCTTATGAACCAAAATTCTCTTAAATTAACAATCACAACAAAAGGAAAAATATTTAATTTTGCTGACGGTATACATTAGATACATCTGTTACATATATATACATACATACACATTATGAGACATAATTTTAAGAAGCAGCTAAATTTCTAATTCCAAAAATAGCTTCAGTTTCTCAAAGCAGCAAGCCTAGTAAAACAAAACATATAAAAAATTTTGATTAACAACAATACTTTTCAAAAATGAAGAAGGCAAAACAAAAAGTAACACTTAATCCTGATAACTAATTTTTATGAAAAGTATTAATAAACATTAAACAGTACAAATATTACTTAAACAAACACTCTAAATCACAAAATGCATGTAATTACTAAATTGTCACTTTGTCAAGAGGAATATTCTAAAAAAAGTGTGAAAAAAGTTTGAGTTAAACCTACAAGATCTATTGTAACAAGATAATTGCTAAATAAATACTTATTTAAATTTAAATATTTCATGAAATCTAACTATTACTCTTCTAAATTTTTTAATGGCATAACTATAAATAATATAAGTTTAATAATTTAAGTTAAATAGTATAAGTAGTTTAATAGTAAGCTGTTTTACATTTCAGCTTTTTGTTTTTTTAATTTGATTTGTCTGGTAAACAAAAATAGTGGCGTTTTATGGAACAGGTAACACAGTAGAGTCATTTTTAAGGCTATCTGTTATTTTTCTATATGGTAATGGTTGCCATATTGTAATTGATGTGCAGTTCTACAGCAACATAAATAAAATACCTACCTATATTGTAATGACACATTCTAGTTCAATGTTTCGTAAAAACAGCTTAAATGCATTTTCAGCATTTCTTTGGACAAAAACAAAATCTTTGCACATCATAGACATATTATGTTGCTTAGGTATAAGCAACTTTTTATAAAGGATATAATTATAGCTGTTGATTGATTTTTATCATCAAAAGGAATTTTATAGTTTTCTGATTTGGTCGAAACGTTTAAGTTTCAGTAACTTACCTTAGTAGATTTAAAGGTCAGTTCTAGTAATTTATTCTAGAGTCTTCTTGATAATATTCTGCAAACATGATCTTTAAAGGGAATAAGAACTTGGAAGCTGTTATTTATGATGTACTATGAATTAAATTGGTAATGTGAGATAAAAAATTTGGAATACTAAATTTGAAAGCTAAAAGTTTAAAAGCAGATCACAAAACAAATATTGATTTACAATTAAGAAATTATGCATCTTGACGATATTTCCTAATATGATCTTATGCTACAGCATGTTTTGGCTGCATGCAAAAAATTTAGGGCAGCAAAGTAAAATAATCTATAATCTACAATAGTGATTATGAAACCGTACCCAGACATTTCTTGAAAAATTATCACTTTGTATTTTCAATAATGCAAACATAGTAAATATTTCTATTTTAATGCTGATTTTTCAAACATTTCTTATTTGAAACATAAAATGCCTTCAGTATGCTCTGATTCAAAAACAGCATAGCTAATTTATAACATCTTGGTTCACTGGTCTAAGTATAAACTAAAAGAATTTTAAGTAAAATAAGTTACCTTTTAGTAAGGGCATCTTCTTCTGCTGTAGACCTATCGGAGGTACGAGTAGATGATAATGAGCCAGTAGGAACAGACTCAGCTTGATTCAATTGATCAATAATATCTAAACCATTTTCTTCAGCAACCTGAGCAATTAGGGCATCCACTTGAGCAAGAGGAGTTGATGTGGTTGTAGCACTACCCATAGCATCTTCTACAACCTTGAGAAAATATAGTATAATAAAAGGAGGGCATGAAATTTCAATTCTAAAACACTAGCCAGACAAAAATTTTTGCTCGTTACTATTTTTCCAAAAAATATAAACATTTTTAAATGCTAATCTAAATAACTTTAATCTAAATAACTTTTTGGTGACCAAAACTATAAATGAATGTAGTAATCGAAAAACTGAAATACATTTACTGCTAAAAAAAGCACCAATATTATTTTTAAAATAAGTTCCAATGGTTCCAATACTGTCCATATACTATTAAAATACAAACAGAAAAAAAAATCAGAAAATTTAGACATAAGTAATTCTCACATACTTTTAAAATTTTATATTTGTATACTGCTGTCATTTAATACTAAAATACCATAGGTCAATTTCAGGCCTAGCATTAAACTCTAGAGGAGAGGTAAATAAAAAGAAATTCTGAGAAAATCATAAAGTGTCAGTCTTTAAAGAGTTTCCCTAAGTTGTCTTCAGTCTATTGTGTCAGTTCAATCCTCTCCCAGAGAAGAATGTGATTACTGGTAGATTAGCACAAACATTTATAAACTTGGTCACTTTAAAGGACAAATTATATTATCAGTTTCTCTGCTGATATATAATGAAAAAAAGGTTCAAATTGGCTCAAATATTTAATGTTCAGAAACCTATGTATATTTGTCTATAAAATAATAAATTGACAATATTAACCTAATTAACCAAATATAGTCAACATTGAATATGAAAATAAATATTAAAAAAACTTTTTAGACTCATAAATATTAACATAAAAATACCTACAGATGTTCGCACATCAAGATCTTCAAACTGCTGTTCAAATTGTTCCATAACTGCAGAAACCTATAATATATATGATTAAATATTTATATTTATCTCTTTACAACAACAACAAAAAAAAGGAACAAAAATACAATTGCCCGTATAGTAAAATAAATTGTCCATAATATATAAAATTTTAATATAAAATATTTCAAGTTTATAAAATAATTCATAATAAATATTTCATGGTTTATAAAATATTTCAAGAGATAATTTATTTATCTTATTGTTTTAATGTAAAAATTATTATCTTCTGGATTAAATTAGAAAAATTACTATACAGGAAAATCTCAATCGAACAAATGTTTCTCCACCCTTAAAAAAATATTAATGCATAACAAATTGAAACTACCAAAACTTATAATTTTCCATGTTCTTTTAGTTTTCCTTATAACAATAGAGATATTAAATAAAATAAAACGTAGAGATATAAAAAAATAATAATAATTTTGAACAAAAGCAGTCAAACCTTATTAGGATTTTAGAATATGCATTAAGAAAAACATATTTCTGCTTCTTAAACAATAAATTAATGTACAAAATTTCATGATCAACATGATTATCATTATAAAGTTAAAAGGAAAAAAAAAACTTTATTTATTGAAATTTAAATAAATCACTTTTTCAATTTACCTAAAGTAAAAGTAAAAGGTAAGTAATATAAAATTATAAAAAATGAATAAATAATAAATATTTAGAGGCATAAGTTAAGTAAGGGGCCAAAATAAATAATTAATAATATAAAGATAAGTGGGCAAAACTAGTTACCCTGTTAGAGTGGCTTAGTAGAAAGAACAGATAAAAAGTAATAATAATAACTAAAAAAGGAATGAATAAAATGTGGTTTACAGTACTTACTATTTGGATGTAAATTAACACTTATAAATAAAATTTTCGATTGTTCAAAAATGCTGACACTTGATGAAAATACAATTATTCATTAAAATCTACACAACTAAAAGTAATAAAACTTTACTTTAAAAAATGTATACATTAGTTGATAATTATGAATATTTTGTTGAAGGAACAGTTATCAATTAATTTGAAGGAATAATGACTTAATTATTTATACATAAATATTAGACAAGTATATGCGAATTAAGAAAAAACGACTTTTTATGCATAGAAACACTTAAAATTTCTAAGCACATAGTCATACTTCCTTATATTTGGTGTCAGTTGATTCCGCATAAAAAAATAAAATGGGAAATAATACATCATACGTCCAGAAGCAATGCCAAGCAAGTAAATAGATATAATTCTAAATTTTGCCTGTTCTAACATATATAACTAAATAACTTCAAAATAATTAGCCCCATAAACTTGAACAAGGACAAAATTCAACTACAGTTACTTCAGAGTCTCGAAAGTTCGAGTCTCAGAAGTCCAAGGTTCCCCTTAATTCGAGGTGCCAAATTTTCCCCCTAGCAACCAAAAGCGCTCTTCCCATTTCCTCTCGCAACCGAAAGAATGCAGGTGTTATTTTTCGTTTCTTCCTGGAAAGAATTTCAGTAACCCACCACCTTTTGTTCTCTTTGCTTTGGAAGGTGGCTACGTAGGGGTTGGTTTGAAAGGAATTTTCAAACCAGATCTACAAGAGTTTTATTCTTCCAAGTTCAATTGTACTAGTAGCTAAGATGTTAGTTAGGGATTCAATACACGTGCTTGATCCTTATCATTTTGGAAACTTATTGCTGTTGAAAGTGTTGCGTTAAGGTGCCTGCTGCGAAAATGAGTGGAAAAAAATAAGAGAAAATTTGTATCTATGATAACTAAATTGAACGCTATGAAAAGATTAGATACAGGTGAAACAATAAAAAGTGTTGCTACCGATTTGGGTGTTGGAGAGGTAACAGTTGGTGACTGGCGCCGCAATCGAATAAAAATTGAGCAGTTTTGTTCACAGAAGTGCAATGAGACTCCAGGAGAAAAAAGAAAATCTACGAGAACATCAGACTATGAAAATACTAGCAAGGCTTTATTTCTTTGGTTTACTCAACAGCGTAGCAAAGGTACTCCTATAAGTGGCCCTATTCTTCAGGAAAAAGCTGTGTTTTTCAGAAATCAGTTCAAAGAAGGAGAAGATTTCGCAGCAAGCGTTGGTTGGTTAGACCGTTGTAAAAAACGATATGGTGTACGTCAACTAAATATTTGCGGTGAAATACTCTCGGCAGATATGTCAGCTGTGCCGGCATTTCAAAAACGGATTGAAGACATTATATTGATAGAAAAGCTCACACCTGACCAGTTATATAACTGTGATGAAACAGGCTTGAACTTTAAGATGTTGCAATCAAAATCCATTGCTTCAAAAGAGGAAAATTCAGCTCCAGGTCACAAAAAACAGAAGGAACGATTAACCATTTTAGCATGCACCAATGCATCTGGAAATCATAAAATGAAACTGACTGTGATTGGGAAATCTGCCAAACCTAGAGCCTTAAAAAACATCACTAAAGAAGCCTTACCAGTACATTACACAAATCAGAAAAGTGCATGGATGAATCTAGAAATTTTCAAACAATAGTTTCTAGAACATTTTGTTCCAGAAACACGGAAGGCATTGAGAAAAAAAAATTTGCCTTGCAAAGCAATTTTGTTTTTAGATAACGCTCCATCTCATCCGGACGATGATGAGCTACGTTGAGGTGAAATCCGTGCTATATTTTTTCCTGCCAATGTTACAAGTTTGATTCAGCCAATGGATCAGGGCGTATTGGAAAATTTAAAGAAAAAATATTGACACCGTTTGTTACAACATTTAGTTCAGTCTGATGATGAAAGTGTTGTGGATGTTTTGAGGAATGTAGTCTGAGAGATGTTGTCTACTGGATAGCAGATACTTGGGAAGAAGTTCAACGTAAGACAGTAATTAAATCGTGGACTAAGTTTCTACCTAAATTGGTTACATCTATTGAGAAAATTTATGATGGTGATAGTGAAACAATTGTTTTGAAAGATTTGGTGAAGGAATTACCAGGCTGCAAAAACTCTAATGCAGTTGATCTAAATGAATGGTTAAATAGTGACGACAAGCTGGAAAAAACAGACTTAAGTATTATAGAAATGATGGAAGATGAGGAAGAATATGAAACAGAAGAAAACAACTCTCCGTTATCAGAAAAAAAAATCTCATAGTGAAGGTTCTGCAGCCTTAGAACTAGCCTTAAAATATGTAGAACAGCAAACTGAAGCCACCCCTGCAGATGTTTTGCTTTTGAAGCGTTGGCTGACTATCGCATCAACAAAGAGAAGTAATACACTAAAGCAACAAAAAATTGACAATTTTTTTAAATTGTAAAGAATCTTTTACGTCATTATACTAAAGAATCAAGGATTTTATGGTAATATGTTCATTTTATTTAATTTCATTTGTAGTTGTTAAAAATTTTCTACTTTTTCGGAAAATCCGAGTTTTTAGTAATCCGAGGTAGTGTGTCCCAATTACCTCGGATTTTCGAGACTCTACTGTATTTATATTCAGCCTAAACAACAACTTTTAGTTGATAAAACAATATTTTAGTTTCAAGGGTCTGTCCAAGCCAAATTTACTACCATCTAACGGTACCTTCACAAATTCAACTTTAGGAAAAACCGTAGTCTCTCAAAATACTTTTTCTTAAAATTTTATTTTTGTATCCCATAAGAAACGATAAATTCATATTTTTGGGTTGATTTTTAACAAAATTTTTAGTTTTCACAAATTATGTCTAAATTTTCACAAAATAGGCACCTCTCAGAAAGACCTAGACAGACCCCTGAGTTTCCTCCAAATTATTTCAACATTTAACTACTTAGGTTCTAACTTATATCTTTTTTACTCCCTTTTTTTCTAAATATGTAACAAAATATTTTTGGTGATTAAAACAAGATAAAGAGAAGAAAAAAAATGCAAAATTTAAATTCAATAGAATAAAATAAATCTGTTAATGATACATCAGATATAAAAAATTTAAAAAAAAAGATTTTTCTTAATTGTTTCATGCAGAAAAAAAATTGTTTTTTAAAGAATGCCTTAGAATATGAAAAATTGAAGCATCAAAATTTCTTCTATTTAAAACATACACACACAAAAAGAAAGTTTCAGACCTTTTGGAGATCCATCGAATTAATTGCTTTATCTAATGCTTTCACAACTGATCCCATATTTTTAGTCACCTGAAAACAACATATTTCATTCCATTATATAGCTAAGTTAAACCACAGAATAAAGTACATAAAATTATTTTTAAAACAACTATTTTCTTTCATTCTTTAAAACAAATTTAATCATTCAAAAGTTCATAGTGAATTCATTTCAGTTTAAGAAATATAGAAAGGAAGAATTGTAAAGAAATTTATACTCATTAAGAAAAAGGGGAGACAATAAAAACCAAAAATAAAAATGAAATTAATAACAAAAACAACAATAAAATAAGGTGATTATATATATATATATACACAGGAGGTGAAGAAAATAATGAAAACACTTCTATACTAATAAATTCCTTCATATTTCTCCAGAAATACTTAACAAATTATTTTTTAACTTCAGAATTGTTTAGATCATGTGATTTCTCATACACATCAATGAAGTTAAAAGCTTTTATAGGTTTGAGAGATCCACAACAAATAATAAATTGAAAATAATGTTTTTGAACATCCTATACCAAAAAATGTAGCAATAGATTTACAAATTGTGACAGTTATTTTGGTTATTAGATGCAATAATTACACAAAATTTAGTAAACCTAGCTTAGATACTTATGGAGACATGAATATTTAAAAAAAAAAAAAAAAACTAATTTATTTTTATCTTATGTTTTTTGCTATAACTTTAAAAATATTCAAAAAAATTAAACAAAATTTTTAGAGTAACTTTTAGTAAATAATAAAAATATTTGTTTAAATTTCATAACAATTAGTTATGAAATGAGCAAGACTGAGAAAAATCGATTTTTTTTTTTTAAATTTTGTAGTAGTATTTGAGAACTAATGAAAAAAGTCTGATTTGAATATCTTAAAAATTTAAAAAATTTCAAGCAATTTTCAAATTAGTTTTTGTATTTTTTAAAAGAAAGTTTAAAATGATAACAACTATTTCCACAAATATCAATTTGTATCATAAGATGGAATTTAATGACAAATGATAATACTTTACAATACCAAAATGCGATTTAATAAGGGAAGAAAACAGATACTTTGAACAGATACAGAAAAGAAAAGATAATTCTATGGGGGATGATCCGCAACAATGCCGGTGTCATTTTTTAAAAATATTGCTTAATAGTATAACATGTGGGAAACCCCTTATCATTTCAAGCATTGTTTTAAAAAGTAAAAAAACTACTTATAAAACTGTTTAAACCTGTTAAAATTGTACTTTTTTAAAAAAGTTCCTGCGCATGCGCAGTATAAACGAATTACTTTAATTACTCATATCTTGTGCAATTTTAAATGATTTTTTCTCAAATTTCAAAGCAAGAATTTTGTAATTAATTTTAAATTGCTTTAAAAATTTTGTTACACTTTAGAGAATATTTTTAAATTTACAGCAAAAAAAAGAAAGACAAAAAATTAGTTTTTCATATTAATGTTCATATCTCTATAAATATTTAAGTTAGGCTTATTGCATAGAATAACTAAAATAACTGTCACACATAAATCTATTGCTACATTTTTTGGAATAGGGTGTTTGAAAACATTTTCCATTTGTAATTGATTGTCAGTCCCTCAAACTTCAAAAATCTTTAAACTCCATTGATATATATGAGAAATTGCACAATTTTGAAGTTATGAAAAAATGTATTAGTATAGAAGTGTCTCCATTATTTTGTCCACCCTGTATATATATGTGTGTGTGTGTTATATACATGGTGTTGCATCTAAAACATCATCATCCTTTAAAATTTAAGGAATTAAACTCTTCAATCAAACCATTGACTATAAGTATAAATCGTGCCATTGATGTAAACCATGTTGAAGTGGCTCCAATTGATACTGAGCAGAACGCAAATGAAAGTGTGTGAAAGGGGCAAAAAAACTATGTTACATTTTCAACTATTGACAGTAAATCCTTTAAAATTTGCACCAAAGCTGTGCAAAATTTATTGCAACATCAATACAGCCATTTGCCACAGTGGAAAATCTAAAGCTTATCGAAATGGGGTAAGGGTTTTGAACCCAAGATATAAGTTGCCTGGGAAGAAAATACTTTTCAACCGTAGCTATCCCAAAATTATATTACCGTTAGGACCGGTATATAGTTACTGTTGGATTAAAAAATGGGGGCACAAGTAACCTGATGAGTCATCTAATGATCATCATCATTGTTTAAAATTTAGGGAATTGAACTCTTCAAGCAAACCAGTGACTATATGCATTAATCGTGCCACGGATGTAGATGATCCTCCAGCTCCAGTCGATGCTAAGCAGAACACAAATGAAAACTTGAGAAAGTGGCAAAAACTAGGATAGACTTTTAACCATTGGACAGTAAATCCCTTAAAAATTGCACCGAAGCTGTGGCAAAATTTTTTGCTACATCAATGCACCCATTTGCCACAATGGAAAATCCGAAGTTTTATCAAAATGGTAAGTGTTTTGAAACCAAGAGATAAGTTGCCTGGTAGAAAACACTTTTCAACCACAGCTATTCCAAAATTCTATAAAGATATGGTTGAAAAGATAAAGACTGGAATATCTTCCATACAGAGTTGTGATCTGTTGGACATCTATAACCAACACTCCTTTTCCAGCAGTGACTACTCATTAAATTTCCAATGAATGGCAGCTTATAAGTGCGTGTTTAAATTACAAGCTTTCATAGAGAATCATACATTAGAAAATTTAATTGAAATGTTAACTAATACCTTAAAAGATTGAAATATTGATATTAAAACATTGCCTTCAATAACATCTGATAATGGCACTAGCATTGTTAAAGCTATCAAAGATCTTAACATAAACCAGATTTGATGTTTTGCGCACAAACATTGGCATTAACCAATCTCTGCAAGTCTTCCCTGAAGAGAGCAATTTCTCGATTGAAAAAGCTTCAAAATACTATTTCTCATTCGCAGAAGATGAAAAAGAGATTTACAGACAGCTCAAAAGCAATTGAGTAATGACTATTGAAATTTACCAATTGCATGCCCAACATGTTGGTGGAGCACAACAAAACTATGCAGACAAGTTTTGTCAAAACAGCTTCCTCTCTGCAAAGTTTTGCTAGATTATCCTACCAGAAAGCATTTAATGCTTGAAGGATCACATATTAATGTGCTTTAAGATTCATGACTATAACAAATATGCTTGAAGAAATGACAAAATCTTTAAGTGGTAGCAATTATATCACAGCTAACTAACCTGTGCTCCGCAACTATTGAGTAAAACAAAGAAAAATCTTCAAGCTAATGACACAGACTCTGAAATTAGCATGGTTATCAAAAAAGAAATTCTGGGTGCTCTTGAAGCCAAATGTAAAGATTCTTCAATGGTATTGACTCTGGATCTTTGTTCATTGTGTGACCCAAGATTTAAACTTCAATATATAGAAAATGCCTCTTAAGTTAAAAGTAGAGCAATTGAATTCATGGTTGCTTCATATACAATATAAGATGAACAACAAATAAGCGTTTCTTCAACAAGTACTCAAACACAAAAAAAAGGTCTTTCAAAGTTCTTTGCCCATTAATGTGGTGGAAAAAACATAGCTCCTCCTTTCCAAAACTACAACAAATTGCAAGGTGATTCCTTGCAATACCAGGTAGAAGTGTGCTATCAGAAAGTGTATTCAGTGTTGCAGGCAATGTGATAACTAAAGATTGTGCATATTTACTACCTGACAAAGCCTGGATGCAGATCTTTTTAAGTAAAAATTCTAAATATGTTTAAAATGTGTTGTAAAACTATGAAAAATTGTGTATAATATTTAAAATTATGTGAATAAAAGTATTCTGTTTCTAAATAATGATGCTTCATAATTTGTTGATTCTATAGGATACTCATCCTATGAGCTACTCCTAAAAACATTGGGTATTTCTTTGTAAATGATGTTCTTTAAACACATAAATTTTTTTTTTTGCAAAAAAGCTAGCATTTATAATATGCATAACAGTTAAATTACCATGGAATATCATAATATCAGGATATAAAGTAGAAAATAAATCACAATATCAAATTTCTGATACTGCCTAGCCTTAATATGTACATATACATGTATATAAATATGCATATATATATACACACGCATATATATATTACATGCTTCTCAAAACAGTAACAGAGACTTCAGCATAATGCTCAAAGTAAAATAAAAGATATGTCAATACCCCTTTCATAGTGATTGCACTTTGAACTTTAGATGATACTGCATCAATTTTGGAAGCCATTCTTAAGTAGTTAAGAGCCTCATTCTTTTTACGAATGGCGTTTTCAGCATATATTTTAGCCCCATCCAAATTTCCTTGTTGAATTGCCTGAAAAAATTTATCAAATAATGTTTCTTACTTTTTAAAAAGCAGTAAGACAAAAAAAAACATTTTAAACAGCATTTTAAACATGAAAGAATTTTTAAAATGACTTTCAATGATAGATCTTTCACAAAAACTATTTATTAAAAGCAGTTAATGATATTGAAAGTTAATCATCTTAGAAACTACTCACACAAAAACAAAATCTATCTTTTCATAGTTAAGCATTTATTTTTTTATTCTTTGATTAAATTAAAAACATTCCTTTTGAATAATAAATATACTGTATATTAAATAATTTATATTAGAGCTTTGTGCTTATTATATACTATTGTAGAATACTTCAGCTTATCATGTTCATTATGAAAATTGCTTTATGATACCTGCTTGAAAACAAAACAAGAGAGCATTTCTTGCTATTTGAATAATTTATAACATGCTTGCTCCCTTTAAAAGCTGCATCATCTCTCTTTATAGGACGCATTAGCACAATATAACACTGCTATGCATTGATTCTGCTTCTTATGTTCCAATGCCTTTTTTTCGGTTTCATAATGCAGTTTCAATGTTTTTTGTTACAAACACTTCCAATATAAAACATATTTCCTTATTGTAAATTTGTTCAGCACTCATATTTATTTTCCTGCATCTTAAAATTTCAACACAAAATCTTCAGTTATGAATGTATTGCTAATCAATTTCTTGCCTTAAACTGTTATTTGGAGAATATCGTATCTTTGTTTGAATCTCATTAACTACCCACTCAAAGCCTTGAAATCATCCGATATTTTAAGCCCTAATGATATTGAATCATGTTTATCCTTGTCTTCCTACACCAGCATTACAGAATGGGGAGCAAAATCAATTGGTGGTACTTAAGGTCGGCTGTATGAATCCAATACAATAGAAAGGAAGGGTAAAGAAGAATCTGGTCTAGCCACACATTTCATTAACTGCAATTCACACTTCTCTTTCCTTTTTATTATCATCCTGGATAATCCACAACTAGAATAATCCTATCTCGCTTAATTGAAAGTCAATTGTATAATCAGTTGCAAAATATGTAATAATAACTTCAATGTCAAGTTTTGCCAATTATCTTCAAATTTATAAGTTTGTTTCACTCATGAAAGAGAAGTTTCATGCATTTATAAATCATTTTAAATAAAATGTTAGCTTTGAGAAAAGAAAAAAAAAGCATAAAGCATTCCAGCAACAGTCAATTATAGAGACAGGAGGGTCATGGAGTTTAAGGCACCACACTTTTGAGACCAACAGCAGAAAATCTATGCATAAATGAGATTGTATAGATCAAATACCATTTAAAATTGTTGTGAAACAATTTTTTAGGGTTGCCAGTATGTGAAAAATAATTAGTGTGTACTTTAAGTAATCTTGATGTCTGTATTAAAAAAAAAATCCTTAATAAGAATTTAATACTAACTACTGCTATTAAAAGGTCAAGGAAGGTTGTTAGAAAACACTGCTGATACTGATTTGCTGAAAATGAAGTGAAATCAACATTCCTTGAAGTAAAAAGTAAACTGAAAAATAAGCTATAATTCAAAATGAAAAATACAATCAATGAACTGAATAAGTTTCCTAACAGAAGAAAAATTAGCTGCATACAACATAAATTGTACTTTACAAGTTGAAGATTAGAAAAAATTTAATATTTAGTTGATACATCTAGCATATTGTAACATCGCATGTAAAAAAAATATTAAACAAATTTTCCTTTATATATATATAAATAACTCCTCTGCATGTATAAATAAAATAAAAAACATACATCAAAATCTTAGTGGAATTTTAAAAAAATAGACAATTAAGGTAATAAAGTTCGACTATAAATTTAGACGCCGAAAATATTAAAAAAATTAATCAGGAAATTATTCTTTTTACTTGATAATACAAGCAATGTATAAATTAAGTTAAAATATGATAATAATTTTCCTAAAAAATAATCAGTCTAAGGATAAATTGATTAAACATACTTAAGGCAAATTTAAAAAATAAAAATAGTAATAATAATTTTGGAAAAAGTGTAATGATTTGAATGGTAGTGTCTGGTCACTAATAATTTAGGATTTGAACTAACAGAAAAAATAAAATGCTTATTAAAATTAATTTTTAAATTATATTTAAAACTCTTACTTTTTTAACTTTATTTCTTTGAATTTTTTCATCCTTTTCAGCTTTCTTTGATAATCTTTCCAACTGTTTGCAACTGAACTATGGAAAAAAGTGAAGCAATTAAAATGCTATGTGAATAAGAACAACAAAAAACACATTTTTGTCTAAAAATCATCAAGGATTTAGTTCAGAAAGCAGTGTCAAATATTTTTGTATGAATCTCAGTAAGTCAAGCCCAATGTTGTTTGAAATTTGCCCATTTGATAAGAGAATAAGTCTTCCTTTTTTCAACCTTTCTGTTAAATGCTTCCCATCATAGAAAATGTTTTCCTAGCGTCGTCCTACAGGAAAATGGCATGTAGCAGGAAAATTTCAGTACACTATTCCTAAAAGGTTCTATGTTTGGTGCATTAAGTACGTTGATGCATGTAAAGTGCAAGATTTTTAAAATTAATAATGCATTCTTTGAATAGAGAGCACCTCGATTGCTGTAGGAGGCTCCACGGACTTGACTTGGAGATCGCAAGATATTGGAGTGTGAGAGAGCTTTTGGGAAGATGACTTTGGTCTTTTGTTTTGGTTTTTTTTCTATTTTTATTGTTCCTCTGTGTTATTGTTTGTATTCCCTGCCATTGGAAATAAAAAAAAATAATGCATTTTTGTAACATTAGAATAAGTGAACTTAATTAAGAATATATTGTTATAAATTATATTATCTTAGAATTGTGATAGGAATTCCAATCATTATCAATTCCAATCATTATCAATCTAAAAATTCACACATATTTTTTTAATACTTTATCCTTGGATTGGATTCCCTTAATACTTTATCATTGGATTGGATTCAGATTAGATAACACATCAGTTGGTCAAGTTCAATTTATACCTACTGATTTTGAATTATTATGAGTTATTTGAATTATTATTGCATTATTAGTTATTTGAGTTATTAAATTATTTTGCATTATTTGAACCTACTGAGAGGAAGTAAAGTCATATACCTTACCAGGAAAAAGCTTATAATTACTCATGGAAATTTTTATCTAAGTAATAAATAAGATGAGTTGAAACATATTATTTTATTAATTCAGGCATAGAGTGAGAAAAGAATAAAAATCCTGAAACATATATATATATACAAGCACATACATGATAAAATATATAAATTATGTGAAACTTTTTCGCACAAAAAGAAAACATATAAAAAAATTTAAATATTATTGAAAGTTTTTTTAATATACACGTACACTTACAGTCTAACAAAGCCTTAAGCTTTCTATTTCAATCTTGATTAAAGAGAATGAAATAATAATAAAGTTTAAAAATTTAATGTCTTCTAAAGTTTAGAAAAATAGTAGATTCTCATGCCTGATTAATTAGAGTAGACTGGATTTTTTCCTTTCAGATTAAAATTTTTCTTAACCAACATAGAAAAAAATCACTATAACATGTATTAAACAGCTGATTACTAGCTTAAATGTTACCAAAAATCCATATTTGACTTTTTTTTAAGTGGTCAACTGTGTAAGGCCAAACTCATAAAAGGTTATACACATTACAGCCTAGTTAATTAATTAAATAATAGCAGCCGAATTATTGCTACCATTTTTGCATAATTAAATAATTTATTCAATTTTATCACAGCATCTTTCTATTCCAGTTATAGAAAATCAACTAACTAAATAATAAAAGAGAAATCAAAGGAGGCCTTGACAGAATGTCAAAAACTCACAACATTGCCTTTTTGGCATGGACAAAGTGTAAATTCTGTCTGGTAAACAAGTAGAATACAAAAATTTACATGCAGTTATGTCTTCTAAAAACAAGTAAAATGTGTAATAAAATTCATAGTTTAATGATGCATTAATAGATTACAAGTTTTTAACTGATAATTTATGCAAGGTTAAAGTTTAAATTTTTATTTTTGGTGAAACTAAAACTTGATTTTATCTTATTAAGATTGCAGATTAAGGTTTGCTCTATTTAGAAATTTCTGCTGAAATCATATAGTAAGCTACAGTGAAAAACTTTTTCACTAGTAAAACATAGAAAATTAATCTATAATTTTTAACTTATAATTTATCAAAAAACATTCAAAGAGGATAGACTTTGTGTTATTGAAATCAAATCATTACAAGAGATAAAGGAAATTTTGGATAAAATACTGCATTTGCATCTATTGTATTAAATAGCGTAGTACGTTTTTGTATTTTTATATGGAGAGAGAAATTTTCTATTTTTGATTCTTGGCTACAGCACCTTAAAATCTTCTTAGCAATAATCAAACCATGGATATTTTATAACTGCTTTATAGTAAATCTATGACACCATAGTTATAATGTTTTTAACCTCCATTAAAAATTGCATAACAGATTTAAGTATCTCTTCTCAATAAGTCCATTTGTACAAGTCTAACGTTAAAGAAAATTTGTCAGTAAGCCTAATCAACCATGTTCAAGTTAAAGCAAAACACTGTAATTTTCTCCTATACTCCCATAAAGTAAATATACTATTAATACACATTAATAGGCTTAACTACCCTCTAATTATTAATTTAAAATGTTTACAAAATTAGAAGACAGCGAAAAATTTCTAAATTAAAAAATGCAACAAAACTTAAAAATATTAAAAAAAAACAAGACATTATGCATACACAATTTTTAAACTATAGGAAGATATTTATAAATAATAAATAACAAACTTACTCTCAGTTGAAACATAAGTTCTGAAAAAGAAAACATGCATAAGTTTTGAAATTATCCATGAATATGATTAAATTTTTATACTATTGCATAATTATTTATAGGGTTGAAAAAAAAAATTTTTTTTTCTCCAAAAAAAAACAAGGCTTTTTGTCAGGTTAAACAGGCTGTTTAAAACTAATTTCTGTTCTTGCCCCTTAAACTGGTTGAATATCAAAGATTCGGGCAAATACCGAATATTCGGTAGCGAAATAGCAACACTTTTTTTCAACAAAAAAAAAAAAAATCATTAAGAAACATTTTTTAATATATAAATAAGTTTAGTCTTTATTGAAAAAAAATCAAAACTTAGCTTTATTATTGGTAAAGGGAAAATAACTTTAATAAAAATGTTTAAGATTATAAAGATAATCCCTATGGCAGAATTGCAGCTACATTGTCACAGAACATTATATAGTTCATACAGAATGATTTTTCTTCTGAACAGTAAAAAATTTTACTTTCCTCTTCTACAGAAATTTACAAAGTCATATTTGTATAATTTAGGTAAAATTACCAAATCAACATAATATTTGAATCATGCATTTAGATAATCACTTTTGAATGCGCTCAATTTGCACGAAAGTATGGTAAGTCAATGTATTTTTATTGCATTTTCGGCAGTTATTGATATTGATTTTCATTTGGTTTTTAAATACTCCGTTATATATCAAAGAATATGGAAAATTTGAATCGCGCATTTCAGTATTTACTTTTTTTAAGCCAATTATTCTATCGAATTTTCGGCAGTTATTGCTATTGATTTCTCCATAGTTTTTAAATCTGATATTTTTTATAAGATATTATTTATTACTTAATACAATAACCTAATCTCAAAATGAAACACACATTTGAGAAGTCTGATTCACGTGATTTCGTCATAGATCTCTTTTTCCGGCAAACACTACTACGGAATTCATGGTTTTTAATTATGTTTTTTACTGTGATGATTATTTACAAAATGAGAAGAAGGAAATAAATTGTATGTCTCCCCCCCCAACAACAAAATGCATGAACAACACCCATAATATTAGAATAATAAAATATGACATGTTTAATTAAAAAAATTACATAGTTTTTATAAACACAGCACTTTTGTTATTTTAAATTAGTAACATGCATGTTTGTTATTATTAAAAGCATCTTGCAGAAAGATATTAGTGCTGGAGTAGAGAGTTTTGTCGCACATAGCCTGAAAAAATTCTGTCACAGGAAAGATAATTAGATATTAAGATAATTCAAAATTTTAAGAAAAATAAAAAACTGACTAACAGATAATAATAAAAAAAAAAGAAAACTAAAGTTTTAAAATTAAAAAAAAGAGAAATAGAAAAAAATATTGCCTTAGTTCTTAAAACGAGACTTTAATACTAAAAATAATATTTTCCAGGAAAAACTATCCATAAATTGTTGGAAGAGATGTTTATCAGAAAGGCTTTTAAAAAAACAGCACTATCACAAAAACACTCATAAAAAATATTATATACAAAAACAAAACAGAAAAAATAAAAATTGATTTTAATTTTTGAAAGAAAATTATAAAACTAAACATCTCAGTTTAACAATTACGATATTTTCAAGAAAAAGTGAAGTTTAAAGTCTAATAAAAGCCCTCTTAATTGCTGCATCATAATAAAAACAAGTTTTTTGAGAAAGTAAAAGCTAAAAAGAAACCAAATCATTATTATTTTTAAATGAAAGATTTAAGGCTAAAAATGTCAATTCAACTTTTTTATATTGTCGTATTTTTAGAAAAAAAGTGAGCATATATGCTCTTTAAAAAATGCAGTCATAATAAATATACTGATAAAAAGAAAATTTTATAAAACAAAGCTAAAGTGAAACAGAAGAAAAATTTTTTTTGGTTCTGAAATATAACTTTAACATTGAGAATCTCTGTTTTCTATGTTACCAGCAATCTGTCTCACCGGATAGGAAAAAAGGGATAATAAAAGAATAAAGTCTGTTAGAAATGCTCCATTAAAAGGCTGTGTTATAGTTTATACAGAAAAACAAGCAAAAAAATTTGTAAGTTTAAAATTTTTCTACCCCTTGGCGATTGTAGTTAGTGTGACAGATTACAAAACGGAAATATCCCCAAATGAAATAAGTAGAAACAAGAACAGAAACAATTATTCAAGCACAATAACACAAATCAGTGTTGACTGATTTGTGGTATGTGACACTTTGTGATGATTTTAACAACGCATGAAACATTCTTCTATATCCTACATCAAGAAAATGTCTAAGGATCTTTACTTCCAAAATGACCTAGTAGAGTTGAACAATAAAAAAATCAGAGAAATGTTTGTCTTGAAGTGAACACAACATTATAAGATTAAAATCCATATAGTGCTCTGTAATATTGAAGAGGTACTAAGAAACAGCAACAAAACGGTGTAAGTATCCAAATAAAAAATTGTGAGAAGTGGTAACTCGAAAGTTTGCAACCACAATGTCCCTTGGAAAGTCTTGAGTAGGACTGGGTTTCAAATTTAGCATCACAATGCATTCTTACTCTAACATCATGATGCTTTTCAGCATTTTGTATTCAGTATTGATTGATTTTGAATTCTTGCATATTTTGAGCATTTGATTGATTCAATGAGGCAATTATATTCTTGTAATAATAAACTCAACCATCAGTTACCTAACAAATAAAGTGTAAAAAAAATGCTCTTCAATTGTCTAGTGGGGACATTTCCGTATTGTGATCTGGCCTGCCAACTACAACTGTCAAGGTGCCAAATAGATTTTAAACTTGCAAATTTAAAGAAAAAAAAAACATGTAGACTCGGGGGGGGCTACGAGTTATACCTTTCAAGTTGGTCCCTTTCTGTGATGTTTTTTTTAGTTTCTAGTGGGCCACTGCCCGGAAGTTTTCAAGACTAGGTGATAATTCTGCCACAGACCACGATACATAAATCTTCTCTGTCTAGTTATCAACAGTAAATTGTATTCTTTTTAAATTTATAAATAATATAAGTAACATGAGGCATCAGTGACATAACACATTGAAAAATTAAACATTTCTAACACTAATGATTAGAAAACATAACCATCAGGTTATATCTTCTAACTACTGAGGGTTATTTTTCCTTTTTTCTAAAACTGATTTTAAATTTTAATTATTGAAATTAAAATGTCTTTGAAAAATATCGGTTAAAAAGCGATAAACGGCTGGATTGATTGCAAAAAACAACATTGGAGGATTTATACAATTGAAAGAAATAATGTTTCGATAACTGAGAGATTGAGCAACACTTCGATTCTCGATTTATAGGGGAATAAGTTCTGAAAATTAATATTGAAAATATAAACCAACAACAGTTTCTAAACCCAAAACAGTTTTATGCTTGCAATAAATAAAAATTACTTAAATAGATAAACAGACGAGAGATAAGGATTTAAATTGAATTTTGGAATAATGATTTAAAAGAATAATCTCAGAAAAAAACACATAAGTATAAAGAAAACGAAACTAAGGTAAAGAGAATGATCATGACACAATAATTTAATACCTTGCATATCAGGCATTTTTGAAGATCAGAAAAGTATTGAAAAATGTACAAAAAAAAGTACTCTGCAGGAAAAACAACAAAACGAGTGTATTAATTCACACAAAAAGAAATTCCGTCAAAGATTTCACTCACTCCCTGTCATAGAAGAAAACAAACAGATTGTTGCCACAATCAGATTTTACCGACAAAATGAAAAAAAATAATTCGCCTTCAGATTGTTGTTGTTGTTGTTGTTGTTTGTTGTTGTTAATTTACGTCGCACTAGAGCTGCACAATGGGCTATTGGCGACGGACACTGAAGAAATATACGCAAGGATGATTCTCCTTGCATACGCAAAACGCGTAAGCAAATTCGGAGATGAGAGCAAGACTACGATTGGCTGATCTTCATGATATTTCCCTTCTGAAGTTCTCATTTGCATGTCCAAATTCGTATTCACAAATGTTTTTGTATGCAGCTAGACTAGTCCATGTCCCGTTTTCATGTCTTACAGCTTTCTCGCCATGTTTCTCTCCTGCACAGTAAAGCTAGCAACGCTCGTATCCGCCATCTGGGGGAGAAGAGCGGTCTCATGGCTTGATCCAGCCCCTTTCTCTCTCCTCTTCTTCTCAGTTGTATAGGAATGTAGTTTTCTTAATATTTCTCTTACGTAATTGTCAATTTTTTTAAGAAATTTTCCACAATGCTTTTTTTTTTTGGAACTATGTTCAATGTAGTTTTCAGCTCCATATCGTTTCCTAACTTAAATGATTTTAATCTATTTGAAAATCAAAACTGATATTAACGTAATTCCTTCTTCTATGACTCTCCACACGCTAATGGTGAAAGCTTGCGAAGTGTTGCCATAGGTTGAGAGTTCTGATCTACGCCACCTGTAGCCATGGGCGGATCGTGAATTTAAGGGACCCTGGGCTGAAACTATTTAGAGGCCCTAATAGCCATTTTGTCAAAAAAAAAAACGGCTTTCTATAGTGATATAGATAAGTATACAGAAAAAAATAGGACAATAAAATAATTTTATTTATTTATTTTTATTTGTGTATACAAACAGCAACTGTGCAATATTATTGCAAAATAAATTGACAGGTTATGTGTAGTTATGTTATATAAATTATAAAGCAACCTTTCTGCATTTTTGTGCTGCAAATTCCTTTATTTGCTCATCGTATTGTAAGTTCATCACTCATTCACTAAATGCTCGTCTACGTCATCTGGATAATAATTAACAATATTACGTACACTTTCCTGATCTATGTTTTCCATATTTTTGTCTTGCAAATCCATTAAAAATTTGAATGTCTTGCTATACATCTCATGGACTTGGCTCCTTTTATTTAAAACCATAATCAGCTTATCCAACGCAACGTTTAGCTTGCCACTTTTAATTTTTTCTGCGCCGTATGCTGAGAATTTATCTGTAGACTTATCTGAAAATGCGTCTCTGGAGTAATGCGTCTCTTGTTTATGTCATTGTAGTCTATTCGCGATCGCAACGCTCGAGTACGCCGTCTAGCGGGAGCCTGTAAATATCGGACATTAATTTATCACGTTTTCATTTAGTTCCATCAAAGTCATTGACTGAATCAGACGCCATTTTTTAGCAGCAAATAAG